AATAGTTCCCTTTCGGGACAATTTCCGATCCCAGCAGGTGTTCCGCAAGGGAGTCTGCTGGGACCACTGCTTTACAGCATCTACACGTCGGACATCCCTCCTCTAGGAGACGGTTGCGTGTTCTTTCTGTTTGCAGATGACACCGCGATAGCCGTCAAGGGTAGGATGCCTCGTGAAATTACGAACAAGCTCCAACGATGCCTTGACACCTTTACTGATTATGCCACCACGTGGAAAATCAAAATCAACGCCTCGAAAACCCAAGCGATCATGTTCCTTCACAGACAATCACCAAAACTTAAACCGTCTCCCTCCTGTACCGTAATAATGGATGGTACAAGGGTCGAGTGGTCCACTGATGTTACTTATCTCGGGATGTTGTTCGATGAGAAGCTCCTGTTCCGCTCGCACATAGAGAAAACCCTAGTTAAGTGCTCCGCCTTGGTTAGGTGTTTGTATCCGCTCATTTGCCGCAGATCCCGCCTCTCAAGGCAAAACAAACTGGCTGTTTACAAACAGATCATAGCCCCCGCGATCTTCTATGCCGCCCCGGTGTGGGAATCGTGCGCTCAGACCCACAGGAACAAAATCCAGGTTGCACAGAATAGAGTGTTGAGGATGATCCTAGATCGTCCATTCGACACAAGAATAGCAGACCTCCATCAAGAGGCAGAAATTCCCAAAGTAGATTCCAAAATTGATGATATGACAACTAAATTTATTCAAAAATGCAATCTTTCTGAACATGCTTTAATAAGCAATTTGTACATAGTAGGTTAAGTGTATATAGTAGAGTAGGTTAGTTTTAAGCTGTAAATAGTAGTATTAAGTAGTTTCTCTTCAAATTCTAAAAACAAAACAAACCAATCCCACCAAGGTGGTCGACCGTGTACTAAGTCTAGGACTAATTCTGTAAAACAAATTTTGAATTTTGCCCATACCTAAAGATGAAGAAAGCAATTAAATCACTTAGTAAAAATTTATATGGTAATCGTCCAAGTTAAACTAAAATAAAGATCATTTAAACTAAAAAACTCGTTGAAGTCATTCTTGTAACGAATTTTGGAGGTGACGGACCACCAGCAGCAGCATAAACAACAGCAACAGAAACCTCAGCAGAAACAGCAGCAATAGAAGCAGCCGCACCCGTGGGAGCTGCATCGCTAATTCGTGTTGCCGTGGCCGAGGCTGGAAACCTCGGTGCGGTCACGACAGAAGGGTATAACTCTAAACGTAAACAATGACTTCGCTGACTACACTAGCTCATAGAACAAACATTTCTCTGTTAGATGATTTAGTTAGTTTGAGTTAGACTGATGCAAAATTTGACTTTTTTGCTCCACAATACTTAAACGATTCCAAATCGGATCCTGACTATCCTCTCCAAATTTGAACCCATTTGGTGAGAAACTGAGATCGCACAAACCATTTAAAGTTTGTATGGGAATTACTATGGTTAAACCAAGATTTTTGTTCATGTCTATCTAATGATTCACCATATCGGCCTGCTTCAAAAGCTTTCAACTGTACTTGTAGGAAATTTTCCCAGCTACAACTTTGCTGAAGATCACTTTTTGATTAAATGCAAGAATCGAAAGTTATCAATGGTTCAATGCGCTGATGTCTTATGACCATGCTCAATCAACTGCTCAGCAGGCAACATTGGTGTTTCTGGGGCGGTGAATAGGACACAAAAATCAGACACAACAATCATGTCACACTGCAAAATACAGTGTTGCCTACAGAGCAGCTGCTTGATCATGTCATAAGTTTACCAATCTCTTAAATAATTAATAACTTTTTCCTGTCTCGTTTTACATAGAAACGATCTTGAGCAAAGTTGTAGCTGAGAAAATTTTCTATAAAAATGGCTATCGAACTGTTTCACAGCTCAATATGGAAAAAGACTAGAAGGCAATGAACAAAAAGTTGAGATTTCCCATAGTAATTTACATGTAAACTTCAAATGGCTTGTGCGAAGTCTGTTTCTAACCAAATGAGTTGTAGCTTTGCGAGGCTAATCAGGACCCGATTTGAAACCATTTAAGCACAGTGGAGCGAAAAAGTCAAATTTTGCATCAGTCTAGTGGGTATGTATAGTCATTCGTAAGAAACCGACGATCCAAGTCATTGTTTACGTTTCGAGTTAGACCCTTCTGACATGTTTCCCCTGAATTGTTGGTCTAGAACTTATCTGATAATCCTATACTACTACCATCGAGCATTATATGTGTAGGCGTTTACACAGATATGCAGCGTGGATGGCCTTCGTTGCAGTGCACTTGATCAAGGCTCGGTACTCAGCGCACACAGGCGCACGATGATTGATGAACGATGTTGACAGAGTTGCAAAATCTCACGATTGTCACGAGAGCGTACGTAGGCAAAGGAAAAGACTAAAGCTTAAACGAATCTCACCGATGACACTCACCAAATCCCGACTGACTTGTTGAGCTATCTGACAATCCTTCGAAAGAGTGACGTTCATATCTGACATTCGGAACCTGAGTGTCGACTGAGTAACTAGATGATGAGACGTCAAGACTGAGTGTGACACAGACAACAAGTAATGATTGTTGTTGTTTGGATGATCGTGAGCTTCGTTTTTGTGTTAACAAATTGGAGAACTTTGAGATTTGGACGTATTTACTTTTGTAACTAATCACGCCAATCACCGATTTCTCGCAAATAAAATCTCAATCACGAAAGCATACACCACAATCAGGTAGAGGAAGAATTCCTATATCATGTGGTATTGTCTCCTTGCGAGATAAAGCTTTTATTTGCGGAAATCGGTGTTTCCGTGTTTGGTTACAAAATCATGCACATTTCATTCCCTCCGGATAATACCCAAGCTAACAATTATTCGGATAATTTGAACTTTTATCCATTATTTTTCTATCCGGATAGTATCATAGAGGTAACTCTAAGACAAGTAGATCCCGAAGAAACGTGCTAAACTTTTTGTCTCAGCTCTGGTACTATCTTCGGTCCCAAGTTAATCGATGCACCCCTCGAAACATGGGAAATTCCACGAACCCCGCATTTTATCTGTCAAACTTTCATAGAGAATCAAAACAAATATAGTGTAGAACTAGAATTCCGACTAGAATGGGATACGTTAATCGTTTGCTTGGGACCAATAGGCTAGTCAAGTAGTGAGCCAATTTCAAATCGTTAGTTCCGTATTGATTGTCGATAGTATCCTGAGTACTCCGAACAGCTTATGTTTACAATAGGGATGTTTGATATCAAATATGTACCCATAAATACCGGGAATTTTTGGAATCGGGGTGATGTATAGTATAGAGTCCAGAAATTGATATCCGACGCCATTTTGAAATCCAATATGGCGGCCATTTTGTTAAAAGAAAAGTGGGCAATACGCTACACTATGCGTATTTTCGGAACGGGACGAGGTGTAGATGTTCGATGCCATTTTGAAATCCAATATTGCGGTCATTGGGTTTCTGAAAAATTGACAATTACCCATCAATAGGGGTATTTTCGGAACGGGGACGACGTGTAGATGCCAAAAATTGATGTCCAACGCCCTTTTAAAATCCAATATGGTGGCCATTGGGTTCAGAAAAAGTGGTAGATACGCTACAGTATGGATATTTTCGGAACGGGGACGACGATTAAATAACGAAAACTGATGTCCGACCCCATTTCGGCCATTGATTTCAGAAAAAGTGGTGAAAAACCTACAATATGGGTATTTTTGGAAAGGGGACGATGTGAAGATGCCGAAAATTGATGTCCGACGCCATTTCAAAATCCAATATGGTGGCCATTGGGTTTATAAAAGTGGCAAATACCCATCAATATGGGTATGTTCGGAACGGGAACGATCGGTGATGCAGAAAACCGTTGTCCCGACGCCATTTTGGAATCTAATATGGTGACCATTGGGATGAGAAAAAGTGGAGTAAACCCTAAAATATGGGTATTTTTGGAAAGAGGACGACGTGTGGATGCGGAAAAACGCCTATTTGGAATTCAGGATGGCGACCATATCGTATAATATTTTACACGTTTTCTAAAACAGGTGGTCACCATCTTGCATTCCAAAATGGCGTCGAAATGGTTTCTAGTTTCCAATCTACATTAAAGTTTTTCTTAACAAAATATTTCTAAGTCCATTCGGGGCAATATGAGCGCCACTGATATTTCAATCATTTTATACTTAAATTCTTCTATTTTGCATTATCCCTTTTATACCTTATACCCGTTCTGAAGCAGCTGCTTTGGTAAAAAGTAAGTAATTTACAAGACTGAAAAAAATATATTTAGTCTTAAATAGGCAGTACTTCTTAAATTTAATTTATTCTACAGGAAATAATTGTTTCTTCTAAATCTTGATATGCAAAAACTATTCATTGTTGACCCTTCATAAAGCCTCAAGAGAACAAGATAGTCTTACCGGTAATTTACTAGGGACTGTTCAATTTGTGTTCGTGATGTTAAGAGTGCTTGAAACTATCCTTTCGGTTAAAAATAATTCGAATTTTCCACTGAATTTGCTATCATTTCCTAAGGGGGCCAAATTACTCCACTTTCCCCGATAGCAATGTGCACTTTTAAAGTGCTCACACTGAACAATTTTCACCGACACTTTTCTTCGAAGAAAGTCGATCTTCCATAGCAAAAAATACCACCGGCAACACTGCCCAAATCACATCCCGGCTCACAAACAAGGTTCCGGGTGGCAGCACACGCGGCCTACTGCAATCTCACCCATCCTTCCCACAACCCATTCGGAATTTTCTTCCATTATCGTTTGCGTTTCTCTCTTGTCCATTTTCTTCTTGCACCCTCTCCGGTTCTCACAAAATTTCCTCCCCCATCCAAGCAACCGTGAATGTGCGTGGTTGATGCGTCCGTTCGTTCGTTTGTGTTGGTGCTGCCCACTTCTCATTCGGACCGACTCCTTCCTTTGCTCGTCGCTTTTTCTCGTATAATTTCTTCTTCCTTGCCTTGCCTCACAGGGCACCGGTCGGTCGGTCGGTCGCCGTGTTTCTTTGAGCGTGTATGAGTGCCCTTTTCCTCCTTCTCCATGACCCGTCTTGGAAGCACGAGCCGCAGCAGCAGGTTAACTTGTTGTAAAATTGTGATGCAGTTATTAAACAACTTTCGTCACATGTATGAATTTCTTTTCACGCACTCCCGAACACCCGACGAACTTGGACTCGGCGGCGGACGAGCATTCGTCGGGACTCGAAGGTTGCTTCCTTACGCGCGGTGCCGTCATTTCTTCGCCGACTTTCGTGGAAGAAAAGTGCGTGCCCATCAGAGAGTGGTTCACAGTAGCAACGTAGTGCTTTGGAGTAGGTCCTCCTCTGGCCAAGACACCAGGGGACCCTTCTCGCCGCCGGGAAGAACTGGAAAAGTGAAGAAAAAAAAAAGTTCGACCCACCCCCCACCTCGCTTCAGTTTCGAATTCTGATTCCCATTTTGGCTACCCAGGAGGGATGAACGCAAAAATCCCTCGCTTTTCGGCTTTGTAACGGAAACGGCAATACAACAAAAGCTTGAAAACAAAACAAAAATCAAGTGCAAGAAAAGAGTGCTTTGCAAAAAATTCAAAATTTTCCCCTTTTCTCAAAAAAAAAAAAAAAAATAATATACCGCGCGTCTCCACCAAACAAAAAAAAAGAGCGAAAACAAAAATCGACAGTGCTTCAATCGTTACCGATGTGAATTGTGATACAAAAAAGAAGGCAAAATGTTTTCGATTGAATCAATTTTAAAATCTCAAATCTCCCAGAGGTAGTGTACATAAGATTCCAGGGTTAGCACTGGTTTGCACACAAAAGCAAAACAAAAAAAAATCAAACCAACCAAACAAACGAACACCTCTTATAGTTATTAAAAACAAAAATTAAAATAAGCGGAAAAAAAAGCAGAACTCGAGTGCCAAACAAATCCGAGCGGGATATGATTTTTGTGTTTCACCTACGGCATTTGATGAAGACTCGGACCCTCGCGAGGGCCCCCCCAATGTTGTATGCTAGTATTTCAGCAGTTTTCGGTACTCTACTACTACCACTGGCACGGCCAAACAAGCAATTGAAAGCTGTCGAGGTGAGGAAAATGATCATCAACAACCAACAACAACAACAACAACTACAACAACAACCAAACCCGCAAAAGAAAACACTAGTTAAAAAAAAAAGTTTCAAATCAAGGTTTACAAAAGTTGGTGGGGAAGTTTCTCGATTTGATTTCGCCCGGTACTGAAGGTTTATAGTAGGCGGCTTCGCTCGGGTTCGACCTGGGTGGCCTACGATCAAGGGTCACTAGATTTGTGGATTGCAATTTTGAAAGGTTTGTGTCGTGATCTTCAGTGTCAGTTCGGAAGGGGGTTCGATCGCTAGTTCACTTTAGGTTCGCTTGAGGATTCGTTGGTTGAATTGCTGTTAGTGCGATGGAGAATTTGTAGTAGAAGTCAGGTTTCAATTGTCAATTCTGGTCGATCTTGTATTCGAAAATTCCTCAAAGTTTTGATGAATCAGTGGTGGTATGCGTCGTATTATCTGCTAATGGTCGTGTGGGTGGTGATTCCAGTCTAATTTCATGATGGATTTTTAAATTATTTGTAAGTTTATTATAAAATACAGTGCTCGTCTCGCACAATGCAATAATCAGTGTTAAATGTTTACATAGTTCACTTGACTTTCATATTGTTCAATTTTTTCAAAATCTCTGAATTCCTTTGCCTCAGTATATACCTGAGGGTATCTTATGAAATCAAAATTGTCTAGGTTCGTAAGTCGCGTCTTATGGAATTCTTAAGATTTATTTACCTCAGTGTATTTACTATTGACGCGAGTTTTACCCCAGAGCAATTCTCGCAGGAATCGCAAAAAAATTAGAGGTTCTAAAATATTGGATGATTGAATTTAATGTATCTCTAAGGATTCTTGCATAAAATCGTAATGCTTGAATATCATTCGAATGGGAAACGTCAGGGCTTTCATATTGCATGTTTATAATTTTTGGCGACCATTTTTAATTTAGCCGCCATATTGGATTTTTTCAAAGAAATCAGTTTTTCATAAGCTTACCTACTTCTTCTTCTTCCTCGCATTTCAAGCTTATGCATATCGCATATAAGCCTATTATATGCTCTCAACTTAGTGTTCTAGGTGCACTTGCACAGTTATTAATTGAGAGCTTTTGATTGTGCGGCAATTACTCATACTCTATGCTCAGGGCAGTCGAGAAATTTTCCAACCCGAAAAGTTCCTAGACCGGACTGGGAACCGAACCCAGTCACCTCCATCCAGCATAGTCTTACTTCGTAGCTGCGCCTTTACCGACTGAGCTATGGGAGGCCCCAAGCTTACCTCCTACATTTTTTTTAAACATAGCATGCCATTTGAAAGCTGATACTTTTTCCTATAAGGTACAGCTTTCCGCCGATGAACGCTTTAAGGCCCAAGCGTAATGGCAGCGGAAAAGCCCGATCTGAGTAAGCCTACTTGTCGGATTGAAAACTAGTTAGAATCAAATCGACTTCGCTTAGGCATCTTGATGTCATTTGTGACAACTGTCAAACTTTCCGTTTCCGTTCCGCTTCCACCCACATTGCACTTGGGCCTTTACTCATTGAATTCTTCCCACCGGTTTATCTAGGTGGGTTTTTAACCAGTCGGTCTGATTTTGTTGCATGTGAGTAAGCTGTCAATGGAGAACTAGTCACTCGCAAAAAATCAGAGCGATTGGCTGAAATCACGCCGAGAAAAAGCGGTGGGTAGAACTCAGTGGGTAACGCGTTCTTCGGGGGAAAGCTGTACATGGAGACATTTGTTCATCGAATCCAGAACAAAAAGAAATATGAGATAATATGATCCTTCTGCTTCCATACAAAAAACGAACTGCTCCATCATAATTGGATATGTCTAAGTTTTCAAATGACGTGCTTGGTTCTTGAATTGGCGGTAGGTAAGCTTATGAAAATCTAATTTCCTCGACAAAATCCAATATGGCGGCTAAATTAAAGATGGCTGCAACAATTTCTGAATATGCCATATGAAAGACCTTACTTTTCGAATGGTATGCAAACATTGAAGGTTTTTGCAGGATTTTTTAGTAATAGGGTTAGTGGTCCTATAGGCCGATATGATCCTATTTTGGGCCTAACGCTAAAACTCATCCAAAGTGTTTTCATGTTACTTCATACGCGAAGTTTTTTGATTTTCATAGTTTTCAAATGCTATCTAACATGAAGCTTTAGTGTGATAATTTATTAGCTAGAGAATGATCTTAGAAGAGGGTAGGTAGATAGTTCCGTTAGAATACGGCAGTATGAAAATTGATTAGACTGAAAATACTGCCGTACTCTAACGGAACTATATACCTATCCTCTTCTAAGATCATTCTCTAGCTAATAAATTATCACACTCAAGCTTCATGTTAGATAGCATTTCCAACCAACACTAAAACTCAGTTTTAAACCTACTTCAGCCTGATTTTTCTGCTGGAATGAATGGATTATAATGATATGCATAATATCATTAGTAAATAAAAACTAGTGACATGTTGCTTCAATCCTGAGTTTTGTCGTTAGGCCAAAAATAGGAGCATAGGCTGAGAATAAGTTCCGTTCCATATTGATTTAAATCATCCAGGAATTTGCAGAAAATGATCTTTTCTCTAAAACTGTTTGAGTCCCTAGTTAACGAGGGGACCATGGATTCAAAATACTGCCGAACGACTTTTCTATGTTCATAACTAGAGCAATCCAACCAGTACGAAAGAATTGGCTTTTAAGAACCTGGCACAAAATGTGGCAGGCCACCTAAATAAGTCAACTATCATCTTCTTGGCAATAACGTCGTCCCAATCAGAACTTTACGCTTGCCTATGCTCTTCGAGGACTTTCACAGTTGTTAATTGAGAGCTTTTAGAATCATTACAATTTTGCATTCGTATATTCTATGACCAGTACATAGCTAATCAAAAGGACCTCATATTAACAAAATCAGAGAGAATGTGTGGGTGTGTTTTTTTATTATCTGGTGTACCTTTCGAAATGGTTTGGTTTTCCAGATTGCAAATAACAGTCTTAGTCGCTATGCTATTGTCATTTTACATAAGATGACGACAGGTTTTTGAAATCTGAATTGATGCGTTGAAAAAAAAGTAAGAGGTTGTATCCAAGATACACTATTAATATTCGGCGACTGTGTTAGAGAAATAACTTTTTCCCATCACGAAAACGCTTCGTTTTCTGATGACGCATTTTCGGAATTTTTAGTTTATTCAATACATCATAAAAAAGCGAAAATTGATTGGATGAATTTCTTGCTAAAAATTTCCAATCGCGAGATATCCGCGATCAATAATATAAATTCAAGATTTTTTTTGTAAACACCGTTCGACGAGACCGGATGGAATTCGATTTTGAAATCTGTGTTGGGGAAAGTGCTTTTCGCAGGAAATTGATGATAATTTTAACTATCATAGCAACGGTTGCACATTCATACAATTTTCAATGGTAACCTATTGAAAATTGATAAAGTCTTATTTTTTACAGATTCGTAGAAAAAAATCCTATCGATTGGCGTATAAGGAATAAAAATCCATCATCTCTGGACCAAAATCAGACAACCGTAACAAATTTATGGTGGTCCTGAAAAAGACTGGTTTGTCGTGATGGTTGAGTAATGCTGATCTATTACGATGTTCAACACAGATGAGGCTGGCAAGCGGTGTGTGGTTTGGAACGAGGGTGATGCGCTTAGGGTTGATGCATATATTATGTCAACGCTCTAGGGGGGGGGGGGGGGTCGAGGGTGTCTAAGATTTTGTGACAAGCAATGCATTAGGTATAGGAAAAACGTCACGATAGGGGGGGGGGGGATTTCTCCTCGATTTAGCGTGATATAATTAATACATGGGCCCTTAGCATAGATGACCCACAGCGACTCACGAAGAGCTACTGAATCTGATTAGTAGCGGTGCGGTTTCTTCCTCCTTATTCGGTGAATGGACGGTCATGTGGACTGTAGCTCACAGTCTTTCGTTGTGTACTGGAGAACAATGTTCAACGTCACGTGCCGCAAGCACTGCTGCTGCTGCTGCTGATGATGGCGACTGATCGGACACCACCACACATGGTGATTGAATAAGCACCGTTCGGCGCGACCAGATGGAATTCGATTTTGAAATCTGTGTTAGGGAAAGCACTTTTTGCAAGCAATCGGTGATAATTTTGATCACCATTGCCACAGTTGGACATTTATGTAATTTTCAAAAGTGACCTATTGAAAATTTCCAATGATTTCCAATTGGTTTGCTTAAGATTAAAATCCGTCCTCTATTGACAGAGTTATAAGTGGTCAAAACCTGACCACTTTTCGTAACGCGGTCGATTTTGTTTTTTTTTTAATTGCAACCCCAGTATGTGAAATCCGTAATAATTCATGGTGGCCATTGGATAACAATTGAAGAGAATTTTAAAAGCTAAAATGCTATTTTTCGTAATTGTAAAACTATGATCTACTATAATGATGAATTTTATTAATAAGAAGCAAGAAAAGGTGGTCATGTTTGTGTATGACACATAATATTTGTCAATTTTGATTTCAAAAGGTCACCATCAGCAATTTTATTATCACTAGTTGCTCGCTCACCGCGATTGCTCATCGTTACAGCTAATCGCAATGATGACCCTCTGAATGCTAAATTGACAGGTTTTATGTGTCATACACAAACTTAGCCTTCTCTTCTTGCATCTTGCAAATACTAATTTTCATTAAAATATCTCATAGCTTAATAAATCTTAAAAATAGGAATTTAGCTATAATAAGCATTTGCAAGCTTACCTCAAACAAGGATCAAAAGGACATAGATCAGCAAAATTGGAAGATTGTAACCTTTAATAGTTTTCTGGGCCTGCTTCATACGTCTGTTGAATTTACTCTCTATTTCATTAAACTTACTATCGATCTTTTCCGAATCTGTTATTAAAATCTTGGTCGGTAGGAGACGTTATATTTTCCGAACCAATTCAAATAAATGAAAAGTAATGTATTTTTAGTAAAAAGCTACACGATTTTTTAAACAAATAACTTCAA